CATCCCGAGCCGCGCGTCCCGAGGCTGCCCTGGGGGCAGGCCGCGCGCTCCCCTGATGGGGAAACTGAGGCCGGGGCGAGATCCAGAGCTTCGCAGGGTTTGTTTTTCCTCTGGGAACTGACCCGCTACCTGGCGTGTTTCTGGCGCATGGATGGGACTCAGTAAAATGTTCGCAGAATAAACGAACATAGACCTGGGACTTAAACCCTCACCCGATCCCCCGCCTGCCTGAATCCCGCGTGAAGTGGGGGCGAGCAGTAGCAAAAGCCGTCTCAGCCCTCTTGGATTCCTGCCAATATCCTAGCGCAGACCCAGGCTCGTCCAAGCTTACTGGGTTGGAGCAATCAGCAAGAGATGGTACAAAGTGGCTCCGAAGGCACGGTGCTTTTACAAAACTGGTCTTTTTCGGGAACCGTTCCTGATTTCGCCTAAACAAACACACAGCCACTCATTCGCAATGAGTGTTGTGTAATCAATCAAAATAGTTATGGAACTTAGTGTTGGGATAGAATTTTTGTTGAAGAGATACAGACCAACTTTTATTTTTGCAAATTTGACAAAGGCTCCTCCTTCAAGACCTAATCTCTGCAGGACTGTTAGTTGTGAGAAGAATGAGGCTGACTACTTTGTTGTTTTGGTTTTGGTTTAGTTACTCAGAGACACCCATTACATTCTGTATGTATTAGGGTCGCTATTTTTTTTTTTTTTTTTTTTGTCTTGACACCCAGCTGGAGTTGGGAACTGTGCTTTACTTTTTTGGTTTTGTTTGTTTTTAACCTGGGGTATATTTAAGCCTCCCATTCGCCTGGGGCAGAGCTCCCAGCTTCTGACTGAGAAGCTGATGCTGCAGGACAGAGTCCTCCAGCCTCTGGTCCTACCTGGAGGGGCGACACTTGCTTGCAGACAAGCAAGAGAGTCTCAGGGACGTCCAATACAGGCAATCTGTGGGAGGCGGACCAGAGGTGGCTTCTCTGGTCACTTTCAGTTATAAGAAAAGGATTTAGAGCTTTGAGTCTCTGATTTAAAAATTCGACAATTCTCAGTCCAATCCAGGAAGGATTTGGGATCTATAAAAGCCATTCTCTGGTCCCAACTCTCTCCCACCCACCCTTTCCTCTCCGCCCCAAGCCAGTGTAAGCAAACAGGCAACCTGACCTTACTCTCTTCATGTGCCACATCCTGTTTTCAGATTAATGAGCTCATTTGGTGGAAATTTACCAAGGGAAATAGTTTAATTTTGGAAAGTACCAAAAACTTATCTGTAGCCACTTGGCTTATTTTTGGGGTCTCTTGAAACAGAGGGGGCATCACCAGAGGACCTCTGAGCGCTCAGGGGACAGCAAGGCTGCAGAAATTGAAAGTTGAGCCCAACAAGACTGAACCTGACTCAGAAAGGAATGGAAACCTTTTGAAGACCACTCATCTCTACCCAGTAGAAATTTTTTTTTCCAAAAATATATTTAAGAAGAAAAGTAGTCCACCTCGCTAAGGCTTAAAATCTGGTGGTGTGACTCTGGGGCCATGATTGGGGAAAAAGAAACACACACAGGGAAGTAGGGAATGTCTGAGCCTTCGTGGTCCCTCTCACATCCACATCTGCTCTGCTTGTTCTAAGAGGCATCAAAAGGTTTCCATTCTCCAGGTTTGCCCCAGTCCTTCAGCTGTCAGGCTCTGGACAATGAAGTTGTCTGCTAGCCTTGGAACCTTTTGAGCTTGTGATTCCTGCAAGGAGCTAAAGACTGAATGGCTAGGAGGACTCTGGAGAATGAAGTTTTGAGAGCCATTCTGCATTGAAGATGGCAGGGCACCTGTGACAGCCCCCCTAAGTGTCTGACCACCTCCTGGCCTGCCCTCTTTCCTAGAGGAGGGATTTTTAATCCCTTCTAAAATGCAGAATAGAAAAATGGTGAAAACTGACAAAGCCCTGCCAATTTAGTCCTGGGATGAAACGAGTTGTGTCTCCCTTCTCTCTGCTCCTGTCTGAAATCTGTAGTGATATTTTGGAGGATATATTTATATTTTGGAATAAGTGCTGGGCTAGGAGTCAGGAGGCTTGTGTTTTGTTTTGTTTTGTTTTGCTTTTTGCCACTAAAGCAGTTTGGGGTATAGGGGTGGGGTGCAGATAAATAAGTGAATGTTTAAGTAATAATTCAAGAAATAATAGTCCATAGTTTTGTTTTTGGTGGAAAATGACCTTAAAGACCATAGAATGCATTGGGTTTTTCAAACTTTGTATTAGCTGTGAGACTATGTCTTTGAAAGCTTTTTCACCTGGAGCCCACACATAGAAACCAGCTAAAGCAGAGACGCTCTGTGAAGTGGAGCAGGCAGCTGGGAACCTGTGCGCTGGGCGTCTCTCTTCTCCATCCTGATCTCTAGGCTCTAGGGACATGGTTTAAAAATCATGGACCTATGAGATGCTCCCAGGTCCCAGAGGTGAAAACAAGGATCCTCTCCTGGGCTGGCTTGCCTCTGCTGTCCTAGCCTTTCAACCTTTATTCCAACAACTGTGCCTTTCCATGTGTTATAGTCCAGATGGGCATTGGAAGAGAGAGAGGTTACATTGGCCCGGTCATTAGAGTGGGGGTGCGGGAGCAGGACCAGATTGGAGCTTAAGCGTCTGGAGGACTGGGGTCAGTGGCCGTGGTAAAAATAACAAAAGTGACAATAATAGTGGCTGCACTTCATTTAATATCCGACACGGCTCTAAGCACATCACATGCCTTGCTCCCTTTACTAAGCTCAGTAAGAAGAGGTGAGAAAACTAACTTCTTCTTTCCAGATGAGAAAACTAAGGCTTCAAGAGTTAAGTATGTAACTTGGTCAGGGTCACATTCTGTGCATTCAGACCAAGCTGGGGTCTCACCTGGTTCCTCACAGGCAAACTGAGAGTCGTTTTCCTGCTCCGGGCCTCAATTTCCTCATTTTTCAGGTGACAAGAATGGAACAGAAACTCCCTGGGATCATTTGCACATCCCTTTCAGTTTACAAAATCCAGGCCTGGGGTACAGATGGTGAAGTGACCCCTTATTGCAGTCCAATATGCTGGCGTATCCTCAAGCCTCTTAATTCTTGACATTTTTTTAAACCAAAGACAAGGAGAGGAGAGGAGCCAGGTCACTGTGACCCACACTTCCATTTGAGGGTCACGAGGAGGCCTTCCTGAGGGCCAGCTGGGAGAAAAGGAATTTTAGAGTTCCGTGTTGGGTGGAAGTAGGCTCCAAGGAGGGGTGAGGGGATGGGGTTGGGTCAGAGTTACTACAGAGATGTTCATTGACTTCACCCCACACATACTTATTAACATTTATAGTGTGTTTGGCTAAAAGCCAGGCCCCAGATTATCTCAGTGAGTGAGGCAGACCCGGCTCCTGGTCTCAGCACAGCTGCATCCGAGATGTGAATGAACCGGGTAAGTGGATCCAGCCAGCTAACATCAGACATTTGGGCGGCTTCTGTTTGTCAACAACCCCTAAAATGTGGGGCCCAGAATGGCCTCTACTCATAAGTACCGAACATTCTCCATTTTATCCTTATATTTCTTCTTTTCATTGCCAGCTGCACCCTTTGACCCTGTCATGTTCACAGCTTGTGTTTAGTAAAAACAGTTCATGAACGGCTTTCCTGCTAGCATCATCTTAATCTCCCCTGATGACTTCTGATTCCAGAATCAGGAAATTTCATTAAACAGATGATTGCAGGTTATCAGTCACCTAGTCGACTAGAATACCAAATGGTCCCAGGCTCCTTAACCCAAATTCAATACCTCCCCGGGGTAACTCACACACAGCTGATATCAACAACAAAACAAAGAAATACACCAAATGCTCTTGTGGAAACTATAGCTTGTAGTACACATTCTCCACTTTGGTGTGATGATTTCATGTGTCCCAAGTTTCCTTCTGTTAATCTCCATCTTGGTTCTTACTATAGTTATTATGACTGGCAACTTACAAAATGTGCCTGTTTACAAGTTTTTTTTTTCCCTGCCACACTAGACTCTGTGAATGATATGAATATAAGAAATTAAATGAATTTAAAGTGTTAAAGTAAAGCCATGTCTGACTTCTTCATTGTTCTTCCCCGCGCCCCCCCCAACTTAGCACAGAGGAGGCAGTCATTAAATGTTTGTTGAATGAGTAACTAATACACAGAGCATGATCCATGATCATTTTTACTTACGGTAGCAGCTGTTAATGATGATTTCACTGTCATCACAAAACATTCATTAAGAATCCTTGGCCTGGCCTTTTTCAGGGTATTGTGAAGTTAGAGATAGCATTCTGGCAAAAATGTGAAATCTGAGGTTCTTTTTTAAAAGGAGTTTCGGTATCTGGTGATTTTCCCTATCTCAATAGATTTCTAGATTTTAAGGAAAGAAACTAAGTACCTCAGAAGTTCTGTGAAGTGTAGGCTCCAGAGCTGTCCCTAGGGATTTTCCAATTACGTGTGGGACTGGCCAGTATATTTGAAGGTGCCGTGGGGATTTCAATTTGTGATGGGGGTGCCAGTGATACCCACGGGGATAGTAACGTGGTCCAGGTTGGCAGATGGACCCTTTGATAAAGACAAGCTCTTAAGATGCCAATAATGATGAAGGCAGACAACTTTGGGTCAATACTAGTCAACCTGCTGCTTCTCTTTGCCATTTCTGGCCACCCGCGTGCCCTGTTCTAAAAGACTGGTTTTGCTACATGTCAAATTTCTTCTATTATGGACTTTGGCACTAAAGACTCTCCTGGGCCTCCGAGGCCTTTTGCTGGGCTATGGAATTAATGTTCTTCCTTCACACTTACCTTTCTGTGGTTGGGTTTCCCAGACTCTTGGCTGGAGCAGAACAAGAATTAGG